GGATGAAGATGTTCACATCCTGGATAGAGAGGAACGATGGTTTGAGAGAGGAGTAAAGGAGGCCATCTTTGTGAAAAGAAATTGTCCATAATTAAATGGGTGGAGGCCTCCGGGTTCAACTGTCCCCCTCGTACAATGCTGTGATTGCTAGTATCACTCAGCCCTCTGTGAACAGTAAACAGCCATCAGGTGCTAATGATCCATCGTTAGGCTGATGGTCCTTCTTGACCATGTGAGCAGCTGGTTTTGGTTGTCAGCGGAAAACTGGTTAATCCACTCTGAGAAGGTGCTATTTAAGAGACTGAGCTGAATACAGCACCCCAGACTGAGGAAGTTTTTTGGATGAAAGACGAAACGTTTCTACATTTTTTTGCTTTTTTTTTGTTTTTTTGAATGTCCAGAGGACCAGATTGAACTTTTTTAGATTTTTCAACCTGGATTATTGAGCATGCATCAGGATATGTTGACTATAGCCATTTCCATTCTCTTGGCAAAATCCACCACCTTCCTTACTGGTTTCTTTCCTTTGACATGAAACCTACCCATCACTTCCTCATCCCCTCTTTTTCCTTCACCAACATGTCTATTTAGGTCTGCTCCAATCACCACTCTCTTCTCCCTGAGAATACTCTCGTCACTTCTTCAAGATCTTTCCAAAATGTATCTTTCTCCTCCACATCACATCCAACCTGTGGATCATAAGACAACATTTAACATCAGACCTTCTACTTCTACCTTCAGGCACATCACCCTATCTGATACTCTCTTCGCCTCTACTACATTCTTTGCCAACTCCTCCTTCATGTCTTCCCCTACTCCATTTCTTTTTCTATCCACACCATGGTAAAACAGTTTGAACCCTGCTCCAATGCTGCAGGCCTTCTGCCCTTCCACTTGGTCTCTTGGATGCATAAAACATCTACCTTCCTTCTCTGCATCATGTCAGCCAGCTCTCTACCTTTGCCTGTTATTGTCCCCACATTTAGAGTTGCAATCCTCAGTCCTACTTTCTTCACTTTCCTCTTCTCCCTCTGTCTCCTGACACATTTTCCTCCTCATGGTCGAAAAGTAAACGCATTGATTTCTGAATATTTGAGACTAATAGACCTGTGAGCTGTGCTGCTGCTGGTGTGGCACTGTTTTTGTGTACTCAGTTAGCAAATTATATTGAAGAATTTGTGCATTATTTTGTTGTCTAACCTCACCCACATTGTACCCACCTCAGCTCGCCTAGTTATCCCTTTGTCACCCGCCCCTCAGGTTTATGATTTAATGTCAAGTCGTCAAATTTATTCATAAAGCACATTTAAAAATGTTACCAAAGTGCTTAACAATAAAATCAATGACAGTAATTAAAGAAAAAATAAAAACAAAATGTAATTAATAGCATCAAAAGTAAAACATAAAAACACAAAACAATGAGACTAAATCAAATCACACTGTGTTAAATGTCAGTGAAAATAGGTGAGTTTAAAAAAATATATATTTAAAAGCAGGGAGTGAAGTGGCCTGTCTAATGTTGGGGGGCAGATCGTTCCAATGTTTAAGGGCAGTGACTGAAAAAGACCGATCTCCTCTGAGCTTCATCCTGGTTTTTGGTACAAAAACCTGTTTTTGGCAGATGATCAGATGATCTCAGTGCCTGAGAAGGAACATATGGTTGCAGTAGCTCAGGGAGGTATGAGGGTGCAAGGTCATTTAGGCACTTTTAGGTTAACATGAGGATTTTAAAATCTAATCTGTTACGTACAGGGAGCCAGTGAAGGAAGGGCAAAACTGGTGAAATATGCTCAAGCCTACAAGTTCCTGTTAAGAGCCGAGCTGCAGCATTTTGGATGAGATAAAGACATGACAGGAGACCTGACTGACCCCAACATAAAGCACATTACATTAATCAAGTCGGGTTGTAATCAAGGCATGGCCTATTTTTTCAAGGTCAGGCCTGGTCAACACGGACTTAAGCTCAGCTATCTGTCTTAACTGGAAGAAGATTTTCTGCAGAACAGAGTTGATTTTCATTCAACCTTTATTTAGACAGGTAAATCCCATTGAGCCTCCCATTTAATTTAATTTGATTATTAAACTTAAAGTCAGAGTCTAAAACCATCCCGAGATTTGTAACAGACTGCTTAAGAAATGACTGAAGAGAGTCAAGATTTACAGGATCAGAGACAGCAGTAGAACCAGGGCTAAACACAATGACCAGTTATCTGCTTTATGAAACTTAAAAAATTTGAAGCCTTAATGATGCCTTAATGTCATGAAGACATTTTAACAGAGGGTGAATGGAGCAAGAACTATTTGGTTTTACGGGCAGATAAATCTGACAATCATCAGCATAACAATGAAACAAAGTTTGTGGTGCTTTTAGGTACTGTTAGGTACTCGACTATACTGAACACTGAAATGAAGATGGGCAGATTTAGACCAGTTTTTTTAATATTCTCTTTTATCCTTGGTGTGGACAGACCTGAGCGTTCAGGGCTGTAGCCTCAGATGTTTTCTAAATAACCCTGGAGCTCAAGACAGAATAAATTTAAAGATCAAGTCAAATTAAGCAGAAATGTCCTAAAATAATTTAAAATTTAAAAATAATTTGTTTGCCTAAAAACACATTGAGGTAGGTTGTACTTTCTCAGCAGGCAGCATCTGCTTCAATACACCTATAATGAAAGTCTGTGGCTTGTAAACAATTGCATACAAATTACAGGAGTTGGAGAAACTATGGAGAAAATGTGGTGCAGGGATCACAGATTTCTATTTCTTAATCAGCTGTGGTAAAATGCACTAACCTTACAATTTATTCCACTTATTCAGTGAGGCAGAAGGCTGACACAGCAAGTGGTGAAAATCGCTCAACCCATGCTGGTGTGACCCACATGGGGACAGTGGCAGGTGGGGAGTTTGATTAGCGTGGCACACCTGTCAAACAGTAACATATGAGAGTTTAGAGAGGAAGATGAAGCTGTAGGGAAGCTTTACACCGCAGTGGGCTGGTATGAAGATAAATTAGTTTCAAAAGTAGTCACAGAAGTGTACAACAAGGTTTGTATGTGTACAATAAGATCCACGGGTGTACCACAAGACCCCGCAACCCAAATAGGAAGAAGCGGGTAAAAGATAATAGATGGATGGATGGATGGATGGATGGATGGTGTACCACAAGATTCACAAACACTTCAAACTGCACAAGTAGGAATATGCTTCACTAACAAAGTGTCTAAGGCCCTGTTTACACGAAAATGATTTCTGGTGAAAATGGAAGAGTTTTGTTGCATTTGTACTGTTTGTTTACACTAAAATAACAAATGTTTTCTTTGACAACGGCTCAATTTGAGAACGGGTTCCGGAGTGCAAGGGTTCAAAAACGTCCCGGTGTCCGTTGTCGTGTAAACAGAAAAAATGATGTTTTCTGTCAGGGAGTCTCTGGCTCATGCGCAGTATGACACTAAACATAACGGCTTCCTACAATCCACAGAAGAAGAAACTATCGACAATGGACTGGCATGATTCCCAGTCAATGTTCTCTTGAAATGTGGTGGTTTTATAATTTAAAGTCACCCTAAGCAACAGTTGAACCTTGTCGTCTGTCCATAGAAATATGTGATTCTCTGCCATCTCAATCATTGTAGTGGCTTTCAGGTAGAGCTTTTTTTTTACGCATGCACACTTCAAGTTTCAAAGAACATCGCACCAATTAGTGGCATGGTGACGGAATTACACCTTTTCCTTGTCTACCATTGCTGTGTAAACAGAGATTGTAATTAGAATGTTTTCATGTAAATACGTTAATAGAAATGGGGAAAAAAACATCTGTTTTCATTGGATCGTTGTCGTGTAAACAGGGCCAATACAAAAATCACCTGCTGTGGATGGATCAGTAAATGTAAATCCTTGTTGAGTGAAACCTGATCCTGACGCTCCCATGGCCTCTGGCATAATTCTTGCCCAGAAAAATTAATTATTCTCAGTGGCTTGTGTTTAAAGTTTTACTTAAAAATGAAACATGTACAGCAAAAAGGTAAGCAAAAACAACTTATCCACGAGTTGGTAATTAAACAGAAAAAGAGCTAGGGAGGTCAAAAAACTGTTTGGCTTCACTCCCCAACTAGTCTGTCTGGACTTTCTTTCCTGACATGCCCCACCCACATCACATGACTTAAATAAACATGTTACCAACCTCAAACCAACAAAGATCTACACACAAAACAAATAGCTTCAGTTATACATATAATCTTTACAAAATTTACTTTAGGCTCCTACAGTAAACATGAGCGTACAGATCAGCTTGTCTGTGAACATCCCTTTTGAGACTTTTTTACCCCTCCAGACTCACAAATGTAATGTTGCGTTCAAGGCTGGTGAAAAACTGGGACATCTGAGCCTTACCAGATTTACTGAGTTATTAGGAAAAGACTTGGCACAGCAACTCATAACTCTTATATTAAAACACATATGCTTACTTTGATGTTACTGGATTCATAAAATGTTTTTGTGGATATCAAAAGCCTAAAATGAGTAGGTTATTCTTCCATCCATCCATCCATCCATCCTATTTACCCACTTCTTCCTTTCCGGGTCACAGGGGTCACTGGTGCCCATGTCCAGCAGTCACTGTGCGAGAGGCGGGGTAGGTTATTCTTCATGTGGGGAATATATTATTATTTTCTGGTAATATTACTGGGAAAATATATTTTCCTGGCAGTTTTTTTTCCCCATGAGATAATTCCCCCCCAAAAAATACAAAAAATTGTATGGCATAGTCAAAGACTGTATCTGAGGGTACAAAGTAAAGCAGAAAAAATCCCTGAATGTTTTGTAAAAAATACCTAAATCTTTTATTTTGAAGCTTTTTATTTTTAGTGTTCATATATAAAAATGGTATTTTTCTTAGAAAATTTCAAAGAAGGTATTGCACAACATTTGACCCACACATGTATGCAAATATATAAAATCTATGGTAAAGTCATGCAATGAGGCTTTGTTTTCTCCCCCCTCAGGCACAAGGAGTTTTAAAGGACCTTAGTCTTGAATTACTGCAACACCTGGATCAAGGAATGGCCTTCATCCAAGTCAGTACCAAGATGAATCCTCAAGGAGAAATGCGAGGACGGGTAAGTCCTAAAAACCACAGTATCACATTTTTGACATTAGCTTTTAAAGCATGTAAAAATAGGATGTGAGAGCTTAACACCTGTTGTTTGCTTGTGATTACACCTAATGGACCAAAAACGAGCAGTCTCCCCAGAGACTTTTAACCACCTGAAGCTTTTTGGGTCCGTGTGAATATTTTCACTGACAGGTGTTTTCTTGTTGAGACTTTAAAGAAGAGTTCACTTTATTGGGCTACTGAGACGTACAAACCAAACACAGATGCCCATAAACTCCCTCTGTTTATAGATGTTGGACCCAGGAATGCAGACAAACATGAGGAGCTTGAAGAAAAAAAAACTAGATTTATTAAGCAAAACAAAAGACTGTGACTGAAAAAAACTACAACTGAACAAACGAAGAGACATAGAGGAAACCCTGATCAGACATGAAGCACACACAATGCCAAACTTAATGAAAGATGAATGACTTTATGGACAGGGACTGATGACTAGAGTTGAGACACCTGGGTAAAATGACAACTGAAAGCAGATTAGAGTGGGTGGGGCAGGAGCTGAGGAGCAGAAACTGACTGAGAAAGAGTGAAATGATGGCGCAGGAGACAATGAGAAAAACTGAAACACATAAAAATCAATAAAAAAGAACAAAATGTGAAAATAACAAGTGGCATGCCAATGTCCCCCATTGCAGAGAGCTGAATATTGAATGTTTTTATTTTTTGGAGATGAGTGTTTTTCTGGACTGGATTTTGACCTGGCAACCCAGTTTTTGAAATGAACCTTTCACCTTTTTTAAAGGACCTAAATCAGACCTTAATCATCCTGTTAAGATATCCTACTCACAACACAGATGAACATTTATGGTGTGAGCAGGGCTTAATTTGTAAACCAAACAATGGCGGAATGCAAATAGTGGGCAGTGGTGGTGGTGTTGGGGGCGTCCTCCCCCAGAGAATTCTGAATAAAGTAGATGTAATTTCCTGAATTCTGGTGTATTTTACAAATGTTTATTGCAGTAGATTAACATGAAACAAAAGATGCCTTGTCTCTTGTAAATGAGTCCCCGAGGCTCAGTGAGATTAACCTGTATAAATAAAGGTTGAATGAATGTAAACTCAATTATTATTGAAATCTCTACAACTGCAAAGCGTTTTAATGCAAAACCACGGCAGCTCTGCAGGTTCACTTCAGGACAAACTGAGGTCACCGATTGGTCAGTTGCTGACGTGCCTACTGGATTGATTGACAGGTGGCACAACTCGTGTAAACAAAATCATAGATTTTACTGGCCCGTTTAAGACTGTCATCATTTATTCCATATTTATTCAATGTTTTGGTGAATCTAAGGTTTGAGAACTTTTTCCTTACAAAATCCTAATGATGGTTTCTTTATTTTTCAGGGGTGCTGATTTAAAATTTAGGGGTGCTTGAGCACCCCCAAAAGAGGCTGAAATTGCCACTGAAGCCAGTTCATATTTATAATTTACTTTTAAACACTTTATGTGTGATTTATAAGTGTATTAAGTGCAGGACCATTTCTTACCTTTCCAGTTGTTTCGTATATTCCACACCACGGTCAGGTGCACCTCCTCACCCGCCTCCCTGCTCTGCATCGTGGGACAACAAGCGCTGCTCTAAGTTTTTGGCCACACTTGGAAAAAAATCTGCCTAATATTTAGCTCTTTGTCACTGGCTTAGAAAAAAGTTGCTCTCAATCCTTCTGCTCAATCCAGAAAAGCGTCCTGGTCGCTCCGACATCGTTTCAAATACTCTGACTGCACGACAAACAGCTTTATGAGGCGAGATCATCGTCTCTTTGTTGCAGTTCAGATAACTCCTACAGTTATTCAAACATCAGATTGTTCACAAAAGTGCAGGAATTTATGCGTAATGCAAAACGTTTAATTAGATTTTTGTTTTTTTAATAAAATTGTTCATGTCTTTGAACTTTTTGGGGCAGAGAGTTTTTTAAGAGTAGAAGCGGAAATGTGAAGTGACAGCTCTGATGTAATATTAGGAAGCTTGTTATATTCAAAATTAGTGTTTATGTAATTATTTTCAGTTTACATATCCAATATAAGTTGTATTCATTCAAGGCAGTCAAATTTGTTCATACATTTATTATTATTAGGCCTGAGAGTTACGGGATCCAAGCAAACATTTACCGTAATGCACCCTGTCAAATAAGAGTGTTCCCAGATCCAGTTCCGGCAGGATCCAGCTCAAATTAAGCCCTGCGTGTGACAACTTCCATTTTGGTGTGTGCCTGTATCTAGGTGTAAAAAAGGTTACTTTCGAAAAGTGGGTTTCCATGTCAAAATCAAAGATGGCTGCCACCATAAATGTCACAAGTGTCTGTGTGTTATGAGCATTATAACTTGAAAAATAAGGAATGAGTTGAATACCATTTTGGTATGTGGCTGCATTTAGGTAAAAGAAAGGTCACATTAAAAAATTGGTTGCCACATCAAAATCCAAAATGGCCACCATCATGTATTTACTGTAATTTCCGGTGTATAAGCCGCTACTTCTTTCACACGCTTTGAACACAGCGGCTTATAAAATGCAGCAGCTAATTAATTGATTTGTAATTTAATTTAATTTTTAATTTTATTTTGACAGGCTAACAATCTTACTGCCGCCAATAAATGTTTTGCATTGTCACACCCGGGAACTCACATAGCTGTCCAACACACTCTCCTCTTGGGTGTGGGTCTTCGTGACACAGAGTGAATACCGCAGGTATTCATGACAAGTACCTATCTCACTCATGGTTACTGTATGCTACTGAATGGACTAACACATAATGAACACATACACTACGTAGGCTAAGAAGAACAGACTAATCACTAAAAATTATGCTTAACAGCTAACCAAAATGACTAAAAATTAATTATATCCATAATCCTCTCTGTGGCCATGTGACCAGCAGTCAACCACAATGAACCAGTGAGGTACTGTACTTTCACTGAGTCACAACATTTGTTATGATGCGTAACCATGGCAACAAGGCAGTTTTCTACAACCAACTGCAACTGAATAACATCTCAAAAACTCATATAATATCTCAACTTCTTCTTTTTTTTCTTTCGGTTTTTCCCTCTTCAGGAGTCGCCACAGCGAGTCATCCTCCTCCACCTCACTCTGTCCTCTGCATCCTCTGTCCTCACTCCAACTACCTTCATGTCCTCTCTAACTGCATCCATATACCTCCTCTTTGGTTATCCTCTTTGTCTTTTTCCTGGCAGCTGCATCTCTAACATCCTTCTACCAATATACCCACGGTCCCTCCTCTTGACATGTCTAAACCATCTCAGTCTGGCCTCTCTAACTTTATCTCCCAGTTTTTCAACTTGTGCTGTACCTCTGATTATCTCATTCCTCATCTTATCCAGCCTTGTCACTCCTAAGGAGAACCTTAGCATCTTAATTTCAGCCACTTCCAGTTCTGTCTCCTGTCTTTTTGTCAATGTCTCTGTCTCCAGACCATACAATATAGCTGGTCTCACCAATGTCTTGTAAACTTTTCCTTTGACATTTGCTGACACCCTTTTGTCACAAATCACTCCTGAAACTTTTCTCCATCCACTCCATCCTGCCTGGACTCTCTTTTTCACTTCTTTACCACATTCCCCATTTCCCTGGACAGTGGACCCCAAGTACTTGAAGTCCTGCACCTTTGTGACCTCTGCTTCTTGTAGCCTCACTGTTCCACCAGCCTCCCTCTCATTTACACACATGTACTCTATCTTACTATGGCTGACTTTCATTCCTCTTCTTTTAAGTGCATACCTTCACGTCTCCAAGTTCTCTTTCACCTGTTCTCACCACAGATCACAATGTCATCTGCAAACATCATCGTCCATGGGGATTCTTGCCTGACCTCATCTGTTAGTCGGTCCATCACCAGAGCAAACAAGAAGGGGCTCAGAGCTGATCCTTGATGCGATCCCACCTCCACCTTGAAGCTATCTGTCACCCCTACAGCACATCTCACCACTGTCCTGCTGTCCTTATACATGTCCTGTACCAGTCTAACATACTTTCCTGCCACTCCAGATTTCCTCATCCAATACCACACCTCCTCCCTCAGCACCCTGTCAGATGCTTTTTCTAAATCCACAAAGACACAATGTAGTTCTTTCTGACCGTCTCTGTACTTCTCCATCAGCATTCTCAAAGCAAAGATGGCATCTGTGGTGCTCTTTCTTGGCATGAAACCATACACTTACAGATAGTCACCTCTCGTCTAAGTCTTGCTTCCACAACTCTCTCCCAGATCTTCATTGTGTGGCTCATCAATTTAATTCCCTGTAGTTGCTACAACTCTGTACATCACCCTTGTTCTTAAAAATGGGCACCAGCACACTTCTTCATTCCTCAGGCATTTTCTCACCCTCAAATATGCCATTGAATATTTGAGTAAAAAAAACTCACTGTCATCTCTCCAAGACATTTCCAAACCTCCAATGGTTTGTCATCAGGTCCTACTGCCTTCCCCTTCTTCATTCTTTTCAGAGCTTTCCGGACTTCACCCTCACTAATCTTTCCCACTTCCTGGTCCACAGTTTCTATGACCTCTACTCTTCTTTCTCTTTCATTCTCTTCATTCATTAGCTCCTCAAGGTACTCCTTCCATCTTCCCGTCACACTGTCCTCACATTACCATTCCTATCTTTAATAAGCCTAACCTGCTGCACATCCTTTCCAGCCTGATCCCTCTGTCTTGCCAATTGGTACAAGTCCTTCTCGCCCTCTTTAGGTTGTTTTCACACCAGATAGTCCGGTAGACTCTGTTTGGTTTGGGACCAATATTCATGACATTTTGTTTACATTTGAGCTGGTGCGTTTGCATTCACACTGCACTGTGCAGTCGAGCCAACCTGTTGAACCAACCTATTCCCGCGCTCGCCTTTAGGGGTGCTGCACCAAGAACTACTGAAAGAAACGACACAAAAACCTCTGAAGACACGTCTTCTTCTTCTGTAAATAAAAATAAAAACGAAGTGGCATCAAGTTTTAGCAGTTTTAGGAGTTATATTTTGTCATTTTTCAAAAATGGACTTAGCATGAGCAGAAGATGAGACAGAAGACCATGGAGAATATTGTTTTTCCACAC